ACCTACCACTTTATACTGGTCAGAGCACAAGCCATTGGGGGATCTAAAAATTGCTACACCAAGACCTCTTTTTTAGACAGTACAACATGAAACTGCAGCATGTTTTTGATATCTTACATCCCTGCATTAATAATACTAAATCATGTATAAGTGTGGTTTCCTGCATTAACGTGTTTAAGAAACTGCCATGGATAAAAATGCATGGCTATTATGATTAAAGCAATGTGAATTATATTTTTCTGTAGATAATATTTTAGTTTTGCACGCAGGAGAATCTAACCTGCAGGTTCATCAGAGGAATACGTAGCCAAGAATCCACCACTGGACACCGACGCATCAGTGCGGAACACAACAGCCATGGTGTTGCCAGAGGACCTCACCTGAGTGCCAGCCGGTACTGTACCACAGAACCGTTGTAGTTGAGGAGCATCGACTGCCAATCCATTCATTACCTGGAGGACATAGATTTATGCTTGATATGCAATTTTTCTTGCATGCTCATCAAAAAGGTAATAAACTATATTTCAGTATTTTCAATTTCACAAAAAAAATTACACAAATAAACTTTTGTGCAAATTTTGATCTTTTAATTTCATTTTTCAAGGGTTCTAGATGCTATCAGAGATTCCACAGCATGTAAGAGGAATTAATTTGATTTGTGGTTCGAGTCAAGTGAAAGGCATGACGACTACTGGCAGAAAGGGACTCACGTCAACATAGTCAAATACGCAGTATGTATCAGAACCTTCCAGTCTCAGGTCATTGATGGTGAGGGTAACCCTGCGGCCTGGTGACACTACCAGCTCCCAGCGACACACTCGGCTGTGTGGATACAAGTTGGGGTAATTGGGAGAGGAAATAGTTCCTGAGGGAGCATTCAGTTCACCTCCACATTCTGTGGGAAAAGACAAAAGAGAGATTCAGCATAACAAATAGTGTTGTAAATTAATTTCATGTGTTTCTGTAAGCCAAAAACTAAATTAAGCATTTAACCCGATCTGTCTGTTCATCAGATATCTCCACAACCCATCATTGCCACTGAGTTAGACTGGTTTTTCAGTTTGAGGTCGCTAGAATGAAGAGTGGCTTAATTTTTTTTGTCTCCTTTTGTTGCTTGGAAACAAAATCAAAAGGCACTATAATGAGGCAGATAATCAACCAGCCTGTATCCAGTTTTTCTTTTTGCATTTGTTCGAAGTCGCAATTTCCAGGTTCCCTTAATGTCACTGTTTGTAGGTGTTTTATCTCCATCTTCATGTGAATCACTTTGTTATTTGGTTTATTATGAAAAAATGTTGTTTTCTTAAATGACTGACACTTTACAAATAAGATAAATTAAACATTGCAGTGATTATTATCATCAGTATATTATTATATAATACACTGAACTTTATTACTTGAGAACAGAAACAGAAATGTAAGAAAAAAACTGTCAGATCTGATGAACAGGATCTAAAGCTTGGACTTTAGCATCTCTGTGTGATAAAAACATTTGTATTTATTCTTCTTTTACAGGTCATTAAAAAAATAGAATACAAACAGCTTATTAACTTTATGTTTTGTGTTTTCTCCATAATATTGTAACATACAGTGTAATAGTTTGTTAATATGCAGGACTATATCTGTCTTATTTATGACCTTTTGCTGACTGAAGAGCTGTCAAATACACAAATATGAAAGTATGAGAGCAAGTTCTAATGATGTTGACAACATTTCTATCAAATGCTTTAATATACGTATGTCAATTTTTTATTGTACGATTTGATTCTCATCCATGCAGTCATTCAAAATGAAAAGGAAAAAAACTGAACCTAATGAAACAACAGTTACCCACAAAAACAGGTCTCTATGATAATTATGACTATCGTGGTGATATTACTCAAAGATTTACTTCATGTGTAAATATGACGTACCATCCAGCAACTATTCCTCGTACTTTTCAAAATGTACCCACCTTCAACACTTGCTTCAAAGAACAGACGGAAGCCAGCTGCATTTTCACTGGTGTCACTGACAAACCGGACATAAGCAAAACTGTCAGACGTCTCCATGGGAGCAGGAAGGTTACTGCCACAATGTCGGCCCAGTAGGCGGCCTAAACAAACATTAGAAAGGATGCAGGAATATCTTGATCACCCCACTGTCTCAACATGAAACACAGACACATGTGTTGTGTGTAATTTACTTTCCTAAGTTCAAAACTGTTGGGACTATTGGGACAGAATGCAATTATTTGCAAATCTTATGAACAATCACAACAGAACATTTAAAACACATCAAATATTTTAACTGACAAAAATCTACCATTTAAGAAAAACATTAGCTAATTTTAAACTGAGAGCAAAACTTCTCAAACGAATTGAGATGGGGCCATGTTTCCCATTATGTAGGATCCCCTCTCCCTTTAAAAGGTTGCTGTACTTTTGGAAGAGGACCGCTATCCCATTTTACTGTCTTACACTGCAAAGCTGTTGTAACAGATTCAGTATGCAGTATGCACGTTAGCATTGTCTTGCTGAAATCTGCAAGGCCTTCACTGAAAAAAGCATCATTTGGATGGGAGCCTTTTTCCTATTATATACCTTTTAGCATAGATGGCGCATTTCCAGATGTACAATCTGCCAATTCCATAGGTACTACTGTATCCCTTTACTATCAGAAATGTGGGGTTTGAACTGAGCACTGATAACACGCCAGGTGGCCCTTCTTTTTGTCCAGAGGATCCATAGTCCATGTTTCCCAAAAAACCCATCAAACCTTAATTTGCATAATCCTAGAACAGTTTTACAGTTTTCCTCAGTCCATTTTAAGTCAGCATTGGCCCAGAGAAAACTGTGAGCAAGCACTTTGGCGACAGTGGGAAGGAAAAACTCCCTTTTAACAGCAGAAGCTCAAAGTAAAACAAAACAACCATAAAAAGAACAAAACAAAACTCTGTCACAATTTAAAGCTAGGGGGGGTCAAAATTTTGTTGCGTTGCGTCAGTCTAATTGCGTAGGTCCTAGTTTGAAGAGGCAGACTGTATATAAGTTTAGGTGCAGCAATCGCAAAGGCCCAGTCTACTCTGTGTTTCAGTCAGAAACAACTTAGCAGCAGACTTAAAAGTTCTATTTGGAGTATTTTTAGAGAGACTTAAAAACAAGCTCTAAAGTCTTAAAATCAATTCTATAACGTACAGAAACCCAGTGTAAACGAGCCAAGACTGGGGCCTGTCAAAAGTCAGGCCTCGGCCTTCTGAACAAGCTGATTCCAAAATAAAGACTATTAATCAAGCCTGTATGAAGTAAATGCAGCAGATAACAAAATACTTTTAGTGTTTGCAATGGCCCTGAGCTTTTACAACAGAAGTTATTTGTTACTCAAATGAAAAACTGTCATCGAAGAACACTTCCAGACTTTTTTTCCAATCCGAGTACTGGACTTTTCCAGAGAGCTAAGATCACCCTTCAAGAGAAGAACGAGGGTCAGAATATCCAAATACTACAATCTTGTTTTTTTGATTGTTTACATTCAAAAAGTTTAATGCTAGCCATCATTTTATGTCATCAAGGCAGTCTAGCAAAACTTTTAAAGAGTCTGTATAATTCTACACCCAGTCATATTACTGACCAGCTGTTTGTTTTTTGGCACAATATGCTTTCCAGCTTGTTGTCCACATCTACTTTTCGCAAAATAATATATATTTTACTGGAACAAACACCTTAGTTCAAACATTTGATATGTTTTTATTTTCCAAAGGTTTATGGGTTTATGAGGTTTTTAAATTATATATGTATAGATGGATAGATGGATAGATGGATAGATGGATAGATGGATAGATAGATAGATAGATAGAATCCCAACGTTTTCATAATTTGGGTTATAAAGTCAAATCAGATAAATACATTTACTTAAGAAAAAGAACTGAGAAGGAAGTCCAGTTTTAGAAAGTTGCAGACAGAAAAGATTTCAACACAATAGACATTGTGATGGTGTAGAGAATGTATCTTGGTTTTTTTTTATTACTTATGTTTTTACCTGAGGCGTTGTACTCTCTGATCTCCACATAGTCAGCAGAGCATCCATCAGTATTCTGCAAGCTGAAATTCCCATAGCTAAGAGTGAGGTAGTGTCCTGTGGGTCCCTCCAGGTACCACTCACAACTGGAGCTATCAGGATAGTGGGACCCTGGGAAGCCTGGGCTGTAGATCACACCCCTCTGACCTATGTAGGTACCTCCACATGTTGCTGTGAGGAATTTGAGTTACAGAATCAGAACAGAGCTTTGAAATAGGTCATTGTGGTTTTCTATTACCACTCTGCTACATAGTCAAAATATCAAAGGTTACATCTCTTTAATTATCCAAATCAATGTTTTAATGTGAATTTCAAATGGCATACAGTATTTTAAGACATAAACAAACAGTTAGGTCCAGTAATGCTTTGATACTGGCACAATTTCCCATAACTTTTGGTCTGTATGCCACAAGAATGTAGAATGAAGGCACCTTACAACCAGACATAGATAAAGACAATTTTATTGCTAGTTGATCAAAAAATTGCCACGCCGGTCTTATGATGAGACCATCAGCTTTCTGGTCTAGACATTAATGAGAGAAGAACAGACACAGTCATGAGTTTCAGACTGCATGACCATGATATTCTTTACCTATGGAGTATTTTGCTTTGAATCCTTGGTGCGTGACGCTGGTGTCAGTACGAAACCTAAGCCACATGGAGGAAGCTGTCGAATGTTGAGTAGATGGTCGGGTGTTGCCACAAAGACGGGAAATTATGTTATTGTTGGATGTTGAGCCATCACGCAGCTCCAAGTAGTCGTACATACAGCTGTTGAATAAATGGACAAAAACATGTTGTAAGCCCTGAAACTTGGGGCACGAATAAACGTGAAAGTGTTTTCAACTCTTCTAAGTGAGTTTCTAGATACATATTGTGTTCTTCAAACACTAATAACACCATCAACCAATTTAGTAAGATCGTAATGTTTGTTTGTTCTTTAGTTTCTTTTGTAAAAACATAGATAGGCTAAAATGTACTTACCAATAATCTTGGGATGAAACGCAATAAAATGACAAAAACTACTATATTTAGGTGGTAATAAGAAGCTATAAATACAACAAGAGAAGAGAAAGTAAAGGTGTACCTGGATGTGGGTTCAATGTAGAACTGATCCTCAAAGTCAATCTGGACAGCTTCCCCATTGGGCACAGTAATTACCCAGATACAGTCAATGTTCTGGGGGTAATTCTGTGGATAGTTCGGTGAAGTAATGTACCCTGGAGGATCGTTATCATTCACCTCGATGAAACCTCCACAACCTGTGGAGAAATAGAAGGATCGAGATAAGAGACGTGACAGGTTTTCCAACATCTACGTAAATTCGAAAAGATAATATTCTGTCGGTTTTTTTAAACCTACTTCAGAAAAAGTTTGGATACCAGGAAAATTTGTACAAAACAAACAAAAATAAGTTGAAGATTTGCACAGTCAGCAAAAGCAAACTCTACCATGCAAAAATATACAAAGATCCAGAAACACATCTTTTCTGTTTAGGTTATTCAAGATAGTCCGAGGTAAAGGGCAAAGATGTCCCGTGGTTTGACAAATCAAAATCAAAAACAGATTTAGGAAATTATGGGTATAATTATGGATATAATGCCAAATTAATGCTTAAACAATATATGCAAACTTTGGAGCAATATACTAAGACAATGATAAGCCTCATTCTATTTGTATATAGGGGATCGTGGCTCAAGAGTTGGGAGTTCGCCTTGTAATCGGAAGGTTGCCGGTTCGAGCCCCGGCTTGGACAGTCTCGGTCGTTGAGTCCTTGGGCAAGACACTTCACCCGTTGCCTACTGGTGGTGGCCAGTGTCCGGCAACCTCGTCTCTGTCAGTGCGCCCCAGGGTGGCTGTGGCTACAATGTAGCTGCCATCACCAGTGTGTGAATGGGTGGATGACTGGATGTGTAAAGTGCTTTGGGGTCCTTAGGGACTAGTAAAGCGCTATACAAATACAGGCCACATTCTAACAGCAGAGCTCTATAGCACAAGGGTCCATTTGCTAAGCTGGCCTGCATACAGTACAGACAACCTTATGACATTATGACCAGTATGGAACCAAAGAAAGAAAAGTATACGTTTTTTTTTAATTCACCCAAAAAAACAATATTTTCAACATTTAATTTATTCTTCTTTTAATTAAATATGGACTTTTAAACCATGACATTTTGTTTTTATTGATATTTTACACAGCAAACATCTTTGGAAACAGGCTGAAAACTGAAAAAGAGGGACCTATTATTTTATATTCAACTCCAAAGTTTCTCCTGGGCTTTACTACAGCAGCTTTGCGTGACTTAAAGTTACAAAATAACCTTTGTCTTATGCTGGGCATTAATGCAGCTCCTCAATTAATCTTCTTTCTGAACAAGATACTTTACACCCGCCCCCTTTAAGCCAACTTAGTTCCTTTTGCCTCTCGTAAGCATAAAACTGAAAACATTGTTCCTAAATTAGAGTTCTGTTGGCATCAAGTCCATGTCTCCTCCAATTTCAAAACTTGTCAACTGTGACTAAACGTTTAGAAATGATCACTTTTCTGCACTGAAACATTTCCTGTGATAGTGATGAAGTGAAGATTCTACCTTGACTGTGGGCTTCGAATAGCAGCTTAAAGCCGGAGGCCTCATTACTGGCATCGGACACAAAGTGAATAAAGAGGTGGTTGTCAGTTGTCTGGAGGACAGATGGGGGGCTTGAACCACACAGTCGT